CTCTACTGAATTTATTTATTGATTGATTGTCTTTTCAAGTCAAGGTCTTGCTGTGCAGTTCAAGCTGCCTTGAGCTCATTTTATAGCCCAGGCTAGTCTTAAATTTGACAATCCTCCTGCATCAGCCTCTGAGTGCTGGGATTACAGGCATGCACCACTATGCCTGGTGAGTCTCTTTTTAAGTTATAAAACTGTACTAGGAGAGGTAATGGAAGATACAAATAGAAAGTGAAACCTTGTTTAACCTGGAGAGCCAATAAATATTAAAGATAACAGGTTAACAAGAAGGAATGTTAAAACTCAGCAGGATGCATTCAAGTACTGAATAAAATTTATTTGAAAAATGTGTAAGCAAAAATATGGAGGTAGGGCCAGGGATATAGCTCAGTGGCACACGTACCTACCTGCCAAGTGCGAGGTCCTGAGTTCGATCCCCAATACCACAAAACAAAAAAGGAGGAATATTTAAGAAATAAAGGTAGTGAGAGTCTAATATTCATTATAAAACAGAAATGATGGCTGGGTGTGGTGGCAAACCCCTCTAACCCTAGCACTCAAGCGGTTGAGCAGGAGGATTGCTGTGAGTTCAAGGCCAGCCTGAACTGCACAGTTGATTGATTGTCTTTGAAAAAGACAAAGAAAAAAGAAATGATACAAAATGTAAAACGTAAGGGCTGGGAGTATTAGCTTGGCTATGCCTAGCATGCCCAAGGCCCCGAATTTGATGGTGATCACTGGCTCTGAACTAGAGAGTTTGCAATTTAGTATCCTCAGTCAGTAAACCATGAAGGAGACAAATACAAAGACTGCCTATTCTTATGTGTTTGTTTGAGATAGGGTCTCACTGTGTAGTCCAGGCTGGCCTTGAACTCACTGTGTGGCCCGGGCTGGCCTCGAACTCATGGTGGTCCTCCTGCCTCAGCCTCCCAAGTGCTGGGTGTAGAATTGTTTTGCAAAGTGGCTGCATGGTTTTACCTTCCTGCTAGTAGTATATGCCCATTCCGTCTTCCTCACTTCCCATACCGTAATGCAGTACCTGAGATAATAAGTTTAAGGAGGGAAAGGGTTACTTTGGCTGCTGTTGGAGTTTCTGTCCATGATTCATTGGCCCTGTTGCTTGGGTCTTGTGGTGGGGCAGAGCATCTTGTCACAGCTGGGACATGGAGAAAATGCGGAAGGAGCTGGGTGCTACTGTCCCCGCGGAGGACTCACCCCTGTTGACCTGGCTCCCATGATGCCAGTCGCTTCAAGGTCCACCACCTCCTAGTACCACAGCACGGGGGCCATTGGGGGCCATTTACTCAACCACAGCAGGTTCCCTCTTCACCACGTCCTCAGCAGCACTTGTCTTTTTGACACTGCTGTAGATAATGTAAGCAGATATTGTGATACTGCACTGTAAATTTTATAGGAACAGTAGAACCCCATGGGAATTCTTACTGGGTTTTTTTTTTTTTTTTTGGTACCAGGAATGATCTCAGAACCTTGCGCTTGCTGGGCAGGTGCTTGTGCTGCTGAGCTATCTCCCCGGCCCTACACTGTATATTTTGATTTACACTTCCCCAACCCTTAATCATAGCATGTCTTTATGTGCTTATTGGCCATTTATATATCTTCTCTGGGGAATTGTTTAATGGAGATTCTTTGCCTATTATTGGACTATTTTTCTTTTTATTGTTGAACTGTAATTCCGCATGCAAGTCCTTTATCAGATACTGTATATGGTTTGTATTATTTTCTTCCATGCTGTGGGTTTTGTATTCACTTTTTTTTTTTTTTTTTTTTTTGGCTTTTTTGAGACAGGGTCTCACTCTGCAGTTCAGGCTGGTCTTGAGTTCACTTTGTAGCCTGGGCTGGCCTCGAACTCACAGCAATCTTCCTGCCTCAGCCTCCCAAGTCCTGGGATTACAGGTGTGTGCCACCACACCCAGCAACCTCACTGAACTCTTAATTTATCTTTGTGGATTCCTTAGGATATTTTTATATACAAGACCATCTGTGTATAGAAATAGTTTTACGTATCCCTTTCCAATCTGAAAGCCTTCATTTCCCTTTCTTGAGTAATTGTCCTGTTAGAATCTCTAGGGCAGTATTGGGTAGAAATGATGAGAACAGATTCTTCTCTTGTTCCTGATCTTAGGCAGAAAAATTTCAGTATTCCTCTGTCATATCTGGTATCAGCTATGAAAATAGACACTGTTTATCAGGTGGTGGAATCAATAAATATTTCAGAATGAATATTTGTTTATTTGTTTGTTTTGAGAGAGGGCCCTACTGTGTAATCCAGGGTAATTTGAAATCTCTATGTAGGGTCAGGGATATAGCTCAGTGGCACAAGTGCCTGCTTGGCAAGTGAGAGGTCCTGAGTTTGATTCCTGGTACCAAAAAAAAAAAATCTATATGTAGCTCAAACTCATGGCGATCCTCCTGCCTCAGCTTCCCACGTGCTGAGATTAGAGACATGCGCCAAGGGCTTGGTTTTAATTTTAAGAAAATCCCAAACCAGGTGTGCTGGTGCATACCTGTAATGCCTGCACTTGAGAGTACCCGCACTTGAGAGGCTGAAGCAGGAGGATCACCATGAATTCAGCAAGGCCAGCCTGGGCTGCAAAGTGAGTTTAAGGCCAGCCTGAACTGCATAGTGGAACCCTGTCTCAAAAAGACCAAAAAACAAAACAAACAAACAAAAAACCAAAAACAAACCAAGCCCTGCTGTAGTCTAGATGAGAAAGAACACTTTTTAAACATGTGAAGTAATTTTGCATACTTTCACCTGTCTGACTGTTGAGGTAGGAGCCTGACTTCTCACTTCTGACCAGCCTTGGCAAACTGTGTTGAAAATCAGTCGCTAGCCTTTTTCTCTCTGGTGCATGACTGACCAGGGTTACACAGAGCCACATTTTCAAGCCAGTTGAGCTGGCAGTGCTGCGGTTAACAGCGATGGCGTCCACGTGGCCCTCCTCGTAGTTGGCGCGTACTTTGCAGTCAGGCTGGAGCTATATTTGGTGAGCTCTGGCTGAAGCAGCCAGCAGTTGCTACCGTGTGATTTGCACCCTGCTGCCAACAAAATGTGGCACTCTCAGGATCAGAAGGAATTATTTTAAGTTTTTCTCCCTTGCACATTAAAGCCTCCCTGCAGGTCCATCTGAGAAGATGAGAATTTTCTTTTACTTTTCTCTTCCCTGCCCCCAGTGTCCTGTGCGGATCAAACTCGGGGCTTTGCTCATGCCAGGCCAGTGCAGAAATGTTGCTCCTAAACTGTGCTGGCAAAAGACCATTCCAGCCTCTCACACAACCCTCTCTCCGCTCTGTCCACCACTCTAGGAGCTTCCCTCTCCTCTCTTTCCTTTTCCGTCGTCCTTTTTTCTCTGGCACTGTTAGCCAGCCTTGTGGCCCTGAAGTCCAGCTCTGGTGATGCCTCCCATTTGTACCTGCAGCCCCTCTCCCTGACCGAGAGCTGTCCCTCTGTGACCTGCCCACAGCTCTGTGCAAATGTCTCTTGCCTTTTTCCTGTGTTAAATGACAGCAACCCCGGAGTCACCCCGGTCTCTGACCTGGTCTCTTGCCTTCTGCTCTGCCCATCAGAGATCCTAAGGTGCCGCCTGCAGAGTAATCAAGGCTCTGACTTATTCCCAGGACCTTCAGTGCCACCATTGTGGTGTAAGGTGCCGTGCTCTGCATGGCCTGTCCTGTCTCACAGTGAAAGGCGGGGTACTGATGATCACCCACGTGCAGCCCCCACTTTGCCCTCTCCTGGCCACTGTCCTTGCTGACCCTTTGCATTTCTGGACTGCCCAGAACTCCTCTCTCACCTGCGCACGCTGGCTCCCTCATGCAATAGGCCACGCCTGTGCTCTCTGGGACGGTCTGAGCTCTGCGGCAGGGGCTCATCTGCCTTCTAACCCATCCCTCATGTCCGTCCAGTAGCACAGGTTCTCTCTCCTTAGTTTCAGTTGTGCGTGGTTATTTTTCAAATCTGCCAGGATCTTGTTTTTGTAAAAATCTTATAGTTAATTACATCTCTCGTTTAACATTTTAGTGCCATATTTTATTTTTATATGCCAAACCTCTGGGACCTACTGTTCCTGTCTTTCTGTTGCTTTTCTGCGAGTGTTGGTGATATTTATTCATAATGAAAGTCAAGCCCAAGCCTGTAAGAAACAAATGTGTTGTTGCCAGTTCTCAAGGGGGAATTTCACAAGGTTCTGTTTCTTAAAGGTCCCTGGAAAATTGGCATTTTTTCATATAATACTATATTATGGGCATTATATTATATCACTAAATGTTCTGCTACAGGATCACTTAAGTGACTTCACAGTGATAAACTGTGGAAATACACAATATTTATTTATACTAGTATTGGGCAGTTGGGGTTCTATCTTACTAGTAGTGTCATATTTATATTACTAAAATGAATATACAAAGTACACAATATAAAGAAAATTTTATTGACAAGGCTAAATTTAGCAAACTTAGAAGGTTGCCCTGTATTGGGAAATCATATATTCCTACATTTATGATATTATATCAGTTTTGTTTGTTTCTTGTGACAGGGTCTTACTATGGGCTGATCTTGAACTCACTATGAAGCCCAGGCTGGCCTCGAACTGGAAGTGATCCTCCTGTACCAGCTTCCCAGGTGCTGGGATTACAGGTGTGTACCACCATGCCTGGCAAAAATAATCAACTTTTAAATGAAATGATAGTAATATTTTTTATGGTGCTGGTTATTGAACCTAGCGCCTTACATACACTGTGCAAATACTCTACCACCAAGCTGTGCCTCCAGCTCTGTGGGGTTTTTTTGTTTATTTAAATATCTGTATTTGACTATCCCTTTCCCATTCCCAACTTGTTAAGGTCATTTTAATTTAATATTTTATTAACAATTTATTTTGTAATTTTTATTTCATTTTAATAAGTGTTGACTTTAACTTATAAAACAGCTTTTTTTTTTTGGTCTTTCTGAGACAGGTCTCACTATGCAGTTCAGGCTGGCCTTAAGCTCACTTTGTAGCCCAGGCTCATCTCGAACTCACAGTGATCCTCCTGCTTCAGCCTCCTGAGTGCTGGGATTACAGGTGTGCACCACCACGCCTGGATTAAACAGATTTTTTTCCCTTCATATTCTAAAGATTGAACACAGGGTCCTATGTGTGCTAAGCAGGCACTCCAACCCTGAGCCACATCCTTTGAATTTCTTCAGTTTTTGAGAAAAGGTCTCAGTAAGCTGCCCAGCCTAGTGTCAAACTTGTGATCCTTCTGCCTCAGCCTCCCAGGAGGCTGGGATTATAGGCATGTGCCACCACTTCCACCCATTTTATTGTGTTGTCATTATATTTAGGAATAATGTCATGACAAATATATAGAAAACTGGACAAGCAACCAAATGAAAAACTTACTAGCTACAAGGAAGACAAAAGGTTTTAAGAGAAAGATATATGGTTGTATGTGGTTCATTAGCGAAGAATGTTTACATAGTTATCATAGAGTAAGCCCTGTGGAGAATAAAAGTCTCCCTGGCATGGTTAAAGATGTAGCTCAGTGGTAGAGTGTGTGTTCAGCATGTGTGAATCCCAGCACTGCCCCCATCCCAGTCTACAGTGTGTTGCGTCTGGGCTTTAGCAAATAAGCTGTTGTAAATAACCTCATTAAAAATTCTACTGCAGTGAGAAATTTTCAAGTAAATTATTCATCTGAGAAACATCAGGGCAAATTAGACTTTTCTGGTACTTGAATACAATGAATTTTTGATTATGTCAAATCTGTACATTATTAATTGGGCTTTTTTAGTATCTTCAGTTTTCATACCGATCATTTGTGTCATGCCTTGTATCTGAACAGTGTTCCAAAAGGGTGTCAAACAATATCACACCAAGGGTCTTTAATGTCTATAAAAAAATGACTTCTGTGGAATAATCTGGGAAAAGGATTCAGTTTTAAAGTTGTCTTGTGGGCCGGGTGTGCTGGCGCACGCCTGTAATCCCAGCACTCAGGAGGCTGAGGTAGGAGGATTGTTGCGAGTTTGAGACCAGGCTGGGCTACAAAGTGAGCTCAAGGCCAGCCTGAACTGCGCAGCGAGACCCTGTCTCAAAATGACAAAAATAAATAAATAAATAAATAAATAAAGTTGTCTTGTTGGACTTTCTGATCTCCTGGAAAGCACTAGTTTCCTTAGAAGATAGGTGCTCATCATACTTTCAGGAGATACTCAGATTTCTGACCATATTTTCTGAGTTAGGAAGGACCCTCTGTCATACATTGACTAAAGGGGAAATAAAACACTCGGAGGGACCATGAGAGAGAAGTGGAGGTGGGACAACATGCGTGTATTTACATGTGTGTACCTGTGGCCAGCGTAGCTTGCTGAGCCTTTATCATTAGCAGTAAGATCCCTAGAGAATGGTTGAAATGGAAACCCAGGGAAATAATGATACAGAAGATGCAGTGTTGTTATTTATTTATTTATTTATTTCATGCAGTGTTTTTATTTTATTATTCTATTTTTTTTCTTTTTTTTTTTTTTGAGACAAGGTTTTGCTGTGCAGTTCAAGCTAGTGTTGAGCTCACTTTGTAGCCTAGGCTGGCCTCCAACTCAACAATCATCCTTCCTCAGCCTCCCAAGTGCTGGGATTACAGGCGTGCACCACCATGCCCAGCTGATGCAGTGTTTTTAAAGGCGGAGGCAAGTAAGGGGCAGAGCTACAGTGTGGACAGCGGTGGGTTACATCTTCAGAGCAGGTCTCAGGCTGTGGGGAGGGGACAGGAAACTCCCAGTTTTGCGCTTTGTGCCTTTGAAGGTGCTATTCTTAGAACAGTAATAGGTGACATCACATCACATTATCTAATCATGTAGATCAGTGATGATGAACCTTTCAGAGACCAAGTTCCCAAACTGCAACCCAAAGCCCATTTATTTATTGCAAAGTGCCAATGCTGCAATTAAACCTGAATGTTGAGGTTTTGTTTAAGAAAAAAAAAAAAAAAACAAAACCCCATACGTTAACATTTTTTGTCTTAAAACAAAAATACAATAACAGCTTTCAGTGATACTAATAGTCTTTTATTGAAAGTTAAAAGTTTGCATTTGGTGTGCTTTTGCACAATTGATGTGATCTTTGCTGTGGTATGCATGCTGATAATTTGCCAAACTTTGGCTTGTACTTCACAAACAACCAAATATGGTGCAGATTCAAATATGCCGGTGGCGGGGGGGACAGCATAATGTTAAAAGAATCTCAGTCTCTTAATTAGAATATCACTTTGCTAAATCTTAGATATTAAATTTTAATTTTTCATAAGGAAACTCAAAGCTGAAATCTTACGTTGATACAAGCAAATGTATTAAAACTCACAACCAGTCTGAGAAAATCCACCAAAAAAATGTATATACACTTCAGGAAAAGAAAACCTTGTATAAGATGCATGTTCTTCTGATCTGACACCTGCAGACTTTTATCTGTGGGTGACCTGAAATGATGTATATTGAAGAAACTACACTGCAGGCCCTTAGATAAAAGTTAGACATGCATGTCCAGCAGCCTGCATAGACACTTGGACCAGGGTTACCCATGCAGCAGTTCACTGCACTATAAAATGTCTGGAAGCTAATGGCCACCACTTCAAGCACTTCTTATAATTATAGAGGCCAAAGGTAACTTGTATTAATCTCACAATGTCTCAGTAAATTTAGTATTAAAATATTTATATAAATCTTTCTTTTCTTGAAGTGTGTATATTATATTCCTGAAGTGTGTATATACATTCTCAATCCTTGGCAGTGGTGGCTAGTGACTCCCAGCGCATGATGTCATCACCTGGTGCCACTCCTTTCTGAGCATGTGCATGGCCGCTATGTACACTGTTATCTGGTCCTTGGCTGCTGGGGTGGTGTTGAGGTATCTTGGCTTGCCTGCTGACAGAGAGGGCTCTGCACGCTTGCTGTGGCACATGTACTGTAGGTTCATCATCACTGATACAGTCATATTCCATGAGAGGTCTCCCCTGGCCCCTGCTTCTCACTTGTCCAGTTCGCTCATTCCTCTATGTCTCTTAGTTTATTTTATATTCTCGCGTGACTTTTTTTTTTTTTTTTTGCAAATACGAGCAGATCAGATATACAGAAATAGAGCCAGATATGGTGATACATGCCTACAATCCCAGAACTTAGGAGGCTGGGGCAGGAAGATTGCTGCAAGTTTGAGGCCAGCCTGGGCTACATGGTGAGTTCAAGGCCAGCCTGAACTCCATAATGAGACGGTCTCAAAAAACCAACCAACAAACAAAAAAACCCACTTTCTTTGTCCCTCACAAAGTAGCATACTATAGACACCAACCTTACTAACTTTTTTCATTTAATATCTTAAGGTCTCAATAATACCAATGTGGGTATACAATTACATACCATTCAGTCACTTGGAATTATAATTTGTTAGACTAGCCTCCTGTTAATTTCTTCAGGTTGTTCCCAATTTTTGTTATTAATCATAGTGTTACAATGTGCATATAACATTTCACATGTATACAAATAATAATAAGTATAAAGTAAAGTAGATGTATAATATGAATCAAGTCATAATAATTTAAATCTATGCATCATAGTTTACTTTTAATTATTTGGAACAAGATTTATCTTTCCTTTATTCACTTGTGCATTTATTTAGTAAAGTTGAGCACCTATTATACACCAACCCTCTTCTAGTTTGTAGGGATATATAGTTGCAACCAAAGGTTCTACACTTGTGGCTTCCAATATGATGCCTAGTGTATTAGGCAGCTTTGTGTTATTGTAATGAAATGCTGGAGGCAAAGTAACTACATAAAGAAAAGAGGTTTATTTTGAGGTTCTGGAGGACCAATGTCGGGGACCCTCATCTAGAGATGACCTTCTCCTGGCAGAGTCCCAAGACTACACCAAACATCACAGGGAAGAGACAAGAAGTGCACATCTGTATCTCTTTGGGGACTTCCTCTCTCTATAGAGCACCCATAGCCAATTGTGAGGGCTCCACACTAATGACCGTTTAATCCAAGTCACTTCCTAAAGGCCCCACCTCAAAACACTATAGTCATATTAAATTTCTTAATACAACTAACATGACTTTGGGGATGGAACTTCTGCATGAGCTGGAGGTAGGGTGGAGACTGTAACACCTCATGCTGAGGGCTGATGACATCGTGATGTCACTTGGTAAAGAGAAGGATGGGGAGGGGCTGGCAGGTGAAATACCATCATCCACCCTGTGGCGTTTAATTGCTTGGGTTTTCTAAAATAAGCATGCATTGCTTTTGTAAAATAGATGAAAGCCCAATTAACAGTTTTTAAAATGAAGGCAAGAGATGCGTAAGGCAGTATAGCATAGTAGAAAGGACATATTTCCTGGTGGTAGATATGCACGTTGGGTCCATCTTGTGACTGCTTTTTAAACTTAATATCCTAATGTTTGAGAAATATCAATATGGTTGTACAGTTTTACCACCTATAAAGCAGTTAATAATATATAGTTGGGAGGCTGGGGGTGTACTTCAGTGGTAGGGCACTCAGGTAGCATGCATGAAGCCCTTGGTCCAGTCTCCACCATGAACCAAAAACAACCTGACATATGTTTATATTAGTTTTGTTTTTCCCTCCCCAGAGAATTAAAAGTAACACATATAAAATGCTAAGGACATTATGAAATAAGTGGTAGATTTACAAATGCTTATTTCAGCATTAATACAGAATTGCAGTTTTGATAATCTGGCCGAGACATGGCAACGTAGGGAACAGTGGCTGCAGTTGGAGACCACATTTGGGAAGCTGAGGAAGGTGTCACAGATGAACTGGCTTTGCACTGGATGCTAGAGATGTAGGAGCAGCAGCAGAGGGAGATTGAGGGGTGACAGCGAGAAGGCCAGGAGTAGAAGGGCTAGGACGGTTTGAAGCATGCCTTCTCCTGCAGGCACTGCGAACACTGGCCGCTTCGTCATGGACACACCTGACTGGGCTTGGGTGTGTCCATCTGTCAGACACACCTCAAATTTGCCACACTCCTTGGGGACCTGCAGGGCATCTTGGGTTGTCTCTCCCTACCTAATTAACCTGCATTTATTGATCACAGCTACTGTGACTTTTTCTAAGATCAAAAGTGTACTCATGTGCAGCGAAGTGCAAAGAGAAATATATATTTCCTCCGATTCTCCACCAGATCACTCTGGGCAGAGCTCCCCAAGAAACGAGGCCTGGAGAAGTAAGTACCAGGTCCTGGCTCTGTTGGATCCTGGCTGTCCCATATAGGATTTCTTTTTTTTTCTTATGCAGACAGGCCCGGATGAGATGAAAGCTGTTAGCAGGTCTGGCAAATAATGTTTGAGGAGCATGGCAATGCCATCTCTTTGAAATGAAAATGATTGAATTCAGAAAATTAAAAATTAAAATTAAAATACATCCTTTATTCCCTGCCCATGGCTTGTTCTCTAGGTCTTTCCTTCAGTTTAGTTCTTTCATTTGAATGGTTATAGTTCCCTGTGTGCTTTCTCTTGTTAACAAATTGTTCTTGGTTCTGTTAAACATGTTTCACACATCCCCAGGGATTCAGGATATCAGCTGAAATCTGGGTTGCTCTGACACATCTCAGAGTATAGATGCCAGCTCTCTCTTGGAAGTGTCATATGGGGAGGGACACACAGGAGCTGTGACTCTAAACTAGCTGTATGCAGGGCATTTTTCAGAGCTGGGGCTGTCAGGACAAAGAGTGTCCCAAATATTGAAAAATAAATATGTTCATCCAAAATCACATTTAATTCGAATACTGTGTTTTGTTTTGTTCTTTTTTGTGTGTGTGTGTGGTATTAGGGATTGAATGCAGGACTTTTGCACTGATCTCTGTGCCCAGCCCCATGTTTTTATATTTTATTTTGAAACAGGGTCTTGCTGAGTTGCATAGGGTGGGCTCTAACTTGTGATCGTCCCTGTCTCAGCTTTCCAGAGTGCTGAGATTGCAGATGTGCACCACCGTGCCTGGTGGGAATCCTGCATTTTTATTTGCTAAACCTGGCCATGCTGCTCATACCTACCCTCTGCCTTACGTGAGAAAGGACCCTTTCCTGCGTGGAGCCCAGGCCCTTCGTTATTGCTCTCTTCTGTACTCAAAGCTGAGGAGAGCTAAGCTACTGGTGACCACTTGTAATAGTGTAAACATTACCTTTGTTTTAGAATAATAAAGACATTCTCATAATTATCAGGTATGAAAGTCTATTTTTTTGGTCTCTCTCAGAGTCCTCTCCCCTAGTCATAGCAGATGTTAGCAGTTTCCTGAGCTATTTCACATGTTTGCAAGCATATTTGTACTTGCTTATTTTTCCACACTGCTCCTTTCCCCACAGTGGTGACTACGGTTGGTCCTGGGTATCAGTAGGTTCTGCCTCTGTGGATTCAACCAAAATATCAAAAATATTCTGGGAAGAAGTATTGCCTCTGAATTGAACACGTGAAGACTTTTTTTCCTGTCATTGGTTCCTAAACAGTACCGTGTAGTAACTATTACATGACAGTTGCATTGTATTAGGTATTACAAGTTTTCTAAGGATGATTTACAATATATGCAAAGGTTGTGTAGATTACATGTGAATACTGCACTGTTTTATATTAGGGATGCAACTGTCAATGGATTTTGATACCTGCAGGGAATCCTGAGCCAATTCCTCATGGACATTAAAGATTACTTAGTCCAAGTCATGATAATTTACTCTTATGTTTTCTTCCCATAGGTTTATAGCTTAAACTCTTACATCTGAGTCGGGAGTCCGTTTTGAGTTAATTTTTATGCATGGTGTGCGGGCGGGACAGGTGGCATTTGATTCTTTTTCCATTATTTGCAGCATTGTGGAGAAGACTACTCTTTCCTACACTGAATTATCCTGGAACCCCTATCAAGAAAATCAGTTGCATATTTTCTCATAGTGCTTTTATGGTCTTGCTGTTACACTCGGAAGTAATTCCAGTGTAAGATCTGAAGTATGGATACAACTTAGTATTTTTTCCAAATGGCCATCCATTTCCCAAAACTATATATTACATATATATATGTAAT